TCACAAGTCTCACAACAAATCTCATCCAATGTCCAACAACCCCAACAACAAGTTGAGAGTGTATTTTTGCGACCTCAAATGTCTCAAACAAACGTGCAAACTGGATTGACAATGCCTCAGCCTCAAACTCTAGGCGTTCAGCAGTCAGTTTCGAACCAACCGGAATCTCAGATTATCTATACCCGGCCTCAATCAGCCGCCTCAATTCTCGAACCGAGACCGCAATATCCACAATCACAAGTTGAAACGGTCTACGCAAGATCTGGAGTCACACAAAATATTCCGCAGCTAGAAACTATTATATCGCAACGCCAAGTTACATCTGTCGGATCACAGCCTCAATCTGAGCTTTCCATGCCTCAGCAATCTCAGATTATCTCTGCTGAGCAACTTCAATCGCAGCATCCGTCGATCTTATCATATGCACCTGAGCGTCAACCTATGGAGTATTCAGGATCAATTCAACAACCACAACAACAGCAGCAAATGCAAATCCAAGCACCTACAATTCAGGAGTATTCCAACTCGCAATTTGTTCACTCTGGTGCAGCCTCAATGCAACAAGCGGAAATAAAATGTCCTCCAGGATCATGTCCTCAAGCGCCATGTCCTTGTGGAAATAATCGAATTTCAGAGCAGGTTTGAATCTTCGGCCAAAATTCTCTCGCTTTCTTAAACTTTAGGACCTCATTAATCCATGATTTGCATGCACTCAAAAATCATTCCTCAATTTATCACAGTAATGAGCCAGGATTATATGCATCGTCCCATATGCCTTGGTGGCATTGACTTACCATATTTTAATAACATATCACCGCATATGTTAATACTGATCCATGGCATCGATAATTACACTGATATGATCGTCTTACTAATCAGAATGTTTCATCTTAGAACTGCCCCCTTCAGGAAGTTTTCACCGCTAAATTTCCATTTATTACCTAATTTTAGGCAGTTTCATCTAACGTCTAGGAAGTAAAGATTGAAACTTGAAAGAAGAAGTTAGTCTCAAGCCATAGATTTATCACCAGATTAATGAATAAAATGCATCGTTCGTCTATCAGTCTCTCAGCAGATCAATATCATCAACAGCTGTTCCTCGTTACTATTCTAAGTTGCGATATGATAAGAGCGGCTGATGGATTAGATTGTAAAAAACTGATTCGGTTTGGAACAAAAACGATTTTTTTCAGTTTGATGGATAGAAACAAATGAATGCATAAACTGGAACGTTCATTGATCTCGGTTAAGAGAACACAATGATAGCATCAAGATGCTATGTATTGAGCCAATAAAAACTTTTTATATGAAAGCACAATTTGCAAACTTTTTAGATGAGTTACTAATGTTGGAAGGATAACGGTTACGAGTAATCATGATAGAAGAAATGATAACAACGATACTGATCTTAAGCATATCAATACTAGTATAAGTTAGCAGAGGTAATAATAATGATGATCAAATAATGCTAATGATAAGATTATCAGTGCTCATTATGAAGTAGATAATCAGAGTCAATCCAAAGTTATTTTTCATCCATCTTAAAGGAGTCCCAATCACTTCAACGAAACCAGCAACTGAACCAGCAGCAGTATCAATATCTACAACAAGCACCCACCCAACTATCAGTCAATAGCATTTCTCCTCAACAAGGACAATCTTCACCTCAGATAGAAGTACTGCAATCTGTCGGTTCACAATCTACGTCAACGTCATTCGCATCACAACAATGCCAACAAACTTGTCAAATGAGTAAATTCTTCTGAAATCTTTTAAATTATTGCTTCTTCAGATCTCAGATTTCTTCATTCAGTAACTTGCGTATTCACCACGGAATCATACGTGTATTGACCACGATTGTTATGTTGCAAACTAAAATCCTAACGCTGTATGATACCCTATGATCTTAAGTGATCCCCCATGATCTTGAGTGATCTTAAGTGATCCCATGATCGTGAGTGATCAAATTAGGAATGTTTCACTTTGATATACACTATAGAATATAACTGATATATGAAGTACGGTTACTATGCAGTAGATTAATCCCACATCAGTGGTGCTAAATTCGAGATTCGATTTATCACGAGATTATATCCAATCGCTAAACGATATTCTCAACAATATTTCAGAATGTTATCAGTCTTGTCAATACCAGCAACAACAACAAGCTCAAGCCTCAACTTCACCACAACAGACC